AGAGGAAAGTATTGACGTAACACAGTTCATTTACATAGTTAAATCATACACTTTTTAACTGTTATTCTTACTTCTAATTTAATCTCATTTCTGTTTTCAGTCAAACAGCTCCTGTAGATAAATTAATGTTTCTGAGAGCCAGGGCTGCAGCAGCTAGATTTGATGAAGGTGCTATATTAGTTTCTAGTGAAGCTGGAGTGCTAAGATTTTGGAGTATTTACGGACAGAAAAAAGAAATTGGTAATAATTTTATATTATGTTATGTTATATAATTGCGAGTTATATTTATGTATCTTTGTATATTCTGGGTCAATAAATAATACATTTCAGTCTATCTAGGTCATTGCAATAAATGACACATTTCAGTCTATCTAGGTTATTGCAATGAATAATACATTTCAGTCTATCTAGGTTATTGCAATAAATGACACATTTCAGTCTATCTAGGTTATTGCAATAAATGACACATTTCAGTCTATCTAGGTTATTGCAATAAATGACACATTTCAGTCTGTCTAGGTTATTGCAATAAATGACACATTTCAGTCTATCTAGGTTATTGCAATAAATGACACATTTCAGTCTATCTAGGTTATTGCAATAAATGACACATTTCAGTCTATATAGGTTATTGCAATAAATGACACATTTCAGTCTATCTAGGTTATTGCAATAAATGACACATTTCAGTCTATCTAGGTTATTGCAATAAATTATACATCTTGGTCTATCTAGGTATTTTACTTGTATGTTATCGGTTATTTGTATGTATCTTGCATGTTATTTGTATGTATCTTGCATGTTATTTGTATGTATCTTGCAGGTTATTTCAATGTATCTTTCAGGTTATTTCTATGTACCTGATAATGAAGATGAATCAGTATTAGGTATGTGTGCTCGATATAATGATTCAACTATTGTAACTGGTGATACACATGGTGATATCAAGATATGGAATATCAAAAACTACTGCACTAAACCACAAGAAAAGGTAAACATCATAAGCACTTATAGCATGTTTTGCATTTTAAATGTGATAAATAGTCCATGAAACCACAAAAATTTATCAGTTTTTCACAGGCATTTGTTGTCTACTTAAGATCAATATTGTGATATTTGAATTGAGAGTTATTCACTAAACCAAAAATGCTTTGTTATAAAGTTAAACATAGCTGAACATCTCAGCTCAGTTGTCTGAAGATCGCAGAGTTTGAAACTCAATGATTCAAATTCTGTTTTAGTATTTTTCTAAATCGCTCCATAATTAATGTAATGAGCACTATTTTAACAGTGAAATATTTTGTCATAAATAAATTTTAATTTTATGAAATATAGAGAGTTAAAAGTAAGCCACCATTAGAAGCCCATTGGAAAGGACATGATGGATCAGTAGTAAGTGTAGACTATATTGATCATGATGATGGTGTATATATATTGTCAGCGTCTACTGATAAAACTGCTAGATTATGGTCCACTAAAGGACATTATATTGGTACATTTGGTCAGGTAAATATGTAACTTTGTGTATGTACCAGGGGTTCTATTACCAGTGCTGTTTATTTACGGAAGTAATCAAAAGATATAACATACAATATTAACACCGTGATATTTTGTAAGTGACAATTTTTTTAATGCACTTTAAGAATCAATGTGCAAAACAGAAATACATAATTTTAATACAAACAAATAGCAAAATTTTGGATACAGTATTATTTAACAGTATATAATGTTGTTATTTCTCCTTTAGAAACAACCGTGGGATTTGAAACATCCTTCCACTTGGATGCATCCTAAAACACCTTGGAGTATTTTAGATGAGGAAAATCTAGGTTAGTCAGTATTATATGATATTTTATAATATTAAATTTCACTATTTGAAAGCAACCTTCTAACTGATTCTGTGCCTCGTTGCTTCTGTTTCTTATTAAACGACTGGTAAATGTGTAAGTGAGGGGACATCTCTTTAGTCAGTGTTAAATAGATTTGGATACAACAGTTGTAATTTTGGATTCCGCTGGAAGCGGAAGTATAGATATTGCCAGTACTGACGATACTAGGCATATCTGAAAACTTCATATTTTCCATCATAGTATCTCAGTATACAGTGAATACCGCTCAAGCGTCCACCTTTATTAAGCAATATGCGACCGCAATAAAGTCCACTCTACAACTCTGAAATATAATAATTGAGTGATAAGCGACCACCTTCAAGGCTACGCTACCAGTGACAATGTATTTACACTCCCTTGTATATGAAGAAGTCATTTCATTGTCTAACTCTAAGTTAATGGAATCCAGTGTGATTTCATATAATTGCCTGTATGTGATAAACCTAGAACTTGACTGTGGTGTATTACTAGTATATAAGTATTAAACTTGTTAACTGTTAACTTGTATTATAAATTGATGCTTAAAGGCAAATGATATTACTCAAGTCATTTGATATCTATAATGAACTTGTGGACATCCTGATTGTCAAATGA